TTACAGTACTTACAGCAAAACCAATTTCAGCTCTAGTATGAGCGAGATAGATAAGTTTGCTCACAAGTCTCTGATATCTTTATTTATCAATTGGCTTGCCATTTTTAAATCCAACTTTTGTAATCGTTTCCATGGATGTTTCTGCTGGTTTACACCTGAACATCCTTGTTTTTTTAAGCAGGTCAAGAACATATTTCTATTGTGACACAGATATCTCCTTTTTAGAACGAACAAATTCCATTCCCAGAAAATACTTTAGTGCTCCAAGATCTTTTATCTCAAATTTCGTGGCAAGAAAAGTTTTGAGTTTCTGAATTTCCTCTATGTTATCACCTGTTAAAATAATATCATCAACATACACAATTATGATAGCTTTTTTACCAGAGGCACTATTCTTGACAAACAAAGTATGATCAGACTGACATTACTCATAGCCCATATGTTTAACTGCTTTGGTAAATCTGTTTTACCAAATCTCTCGAAGATTGTTTTAGACCATAGAGTGCCTTTCTAAGTTTGCATACCTTGTGAGTTTCATATGTGATCTCAAGGCTTGGAGAAACTTTCTTATATACCTCTTCTTCTAAATCTCCATTGAGAAATGCATTCTTTACGTCAAGTTGACAGAGGGGCCAATCAAGATTAGAGACAAGAGAGAGTAATATCTGGATAGTGTTGTGCGTAGCAACTAGGGCGAATTGTCTCCTGATAGTCTATCACGTAGGACTGAGTGAAGTCTTTAGCTACTTGACGAGTTTTGTACCGATTCATACTTTCATCAGGATTGTATTTTACAGTGAATACTCATTTGCACCCAACTTTATGTTTTCTTGGTGGAAGCTCTGTCAGTTCACAAGTCTTATTCTTTTCCAGAGACCTAATCTCTTCTTGAATAGCACCTCTTCACATTGGCAATGCAAAGACTTCATGAATTGTTTTAGGTTCAGTGGAGCTGTCATTAAGTTTACTTACATATGCATGATACTTTGAAGACAAGTTGTTGAATGAAATGTAATCCTGTATAGGGTGTCTAGTACAAGATCGAGCTCCTTTCCGCAAAACAATAGGTAACTCAGTATCATGATTAATAATGGTAACAGTGTCAGAAATTGTGCCTGAAAATTCATTACCTGATGTGTTCTTACTGTTTGGAACTGGAATAGACTCATGACAATGTGTAGTTGGTTCAGAATCATTATTAACTAGAGTTTTGTGTCTTCTAGTATAAACACGTAACTCTTTGTTAACAGTAGTAGGCATAGGTTCAGGTTCAGACTCTTTGATACTGGTTTCAGGAAAATTTGATGAGAACTCGGGAATAGTGAGGGGAAGAGAGGTGAGAGGTGAGAGGTGGTGTACTTATATCTCATACTTGATATTCCCGATTAGGATTCTCCCCCTGAATATCAATAGTGGGATAGAATGACTGATTTTCAAAAAAAATAACATCCATAGTGTTGTAGAAACGACGAGTTTTGGAACAAAAACATTTGTATCCTTTTTGACTAGGTGAATATCCAACAAAAACACATTTAATAGCCCGTGGGCCAAGTTTACCCCTAAGGTGAGTATGAACATGAACATAGACTGAACAACCAAAAACTTTCTAGGGAATGATACGAAGAATATGAGATTGCGGAAAGTCCCTGAGGAGGATATCATAGGGTGTTCGAAATGAGAGAGTTCAGAAGGGCATGCGGTTTATTAAGTATGCAATGGTGAGAACAGCCTCTCCCTAAAGAAATTTTGGAATCTGGGTAGTGAACATGATTGATCGGGCTACTTCAAGAATGTATCTGTTTTTTCGTTCAGTTATGTCATTTTGTTGTAGGGTATTAACACAGGAACTTTGATGGATAATGCCGTGGTCAAAAAAATATTGGCTCAAAGTAATTTCAAAGTATTCACACTCATTTGACTCAAAGTGATTTCAAAGTATTCACACCCATTGTCTTATCTCACTACTTGAATTTTTGTGTGAAATTAATTTAGAATCATAATGTGAAATTTTTTAAAAATTTGGCCAACTTCATATTTGCCTTTCATGAGAAAAATTCAAATAATTCTAATGTGATCATCAACAAAAGATACAAATCATTTTGTTTCGGTAATATTAGTGACCCGATAGGGACCCCATACATCACTATGGATTAATGAAAAGGATTTTGTGAGTTTGTAAATTGAACTGAGAAATGAATTTCGAATATGTTTGGATAGTTAACATACTTCACATTGAAAGGAAGTTGAATTTTTATTTCGAAACAAAGCAAGAAATAGTTTTTTCAAGTACATGAAATTAGGATGTCCCAAACGGTAATGTCATAACATGATAGGGCATTACATATTTAAATTGTATACAGATTCAGAATTAGTACATACTGCATGATGAGTTTGTTTATTAAGAAAAGAGCTGTCAGCTTGCTGTAGATAAAGACCCAAATCCATACTAGCATTGCCAATCGTCTTCCCCGAGTCCAAGTCCTGAAATTCACATAGTTTAACAATTCAAATCATGTGATAGTTTACTTATTGACAGGAGATTGCAATATAAGTTTGGAACATATAGCACAGAGTACAAAATTAACTTGGATGTCAGTGCAATTATTCATATTCCTTCGACCTGGGAGCTAGAGCCATCAATAATTTTAACTGAGAATTTACTTCTGCACTTACTATATTCCTTGAATAGTGAGATATCCCCGGTTATATGATCGGAAGCACCTGAGTCAATAATCTATATTCCTTTTTTTGTGGAATAAGTTGAAAAACCAGAAAAATTACCTTTATGAGCTGTGGAAGCATTACCGAGAACCATATTGGGAGAAAATATTTTTTGGAGGAGGCTGATTTGTTCGGGACTAAATAGGGAGCTTTCGGTAGGAACAACTGCAATTAATTCCTCCTCTGTTGAGACAAAATTGCCCCGATGAATTTCCTCCATTTTCAGCTTCGGTGTCTTCTTCTTCTCAGTCGATTCCTTTTCAGCTGGTTTCCCGTGAAGCTTCCAGCATCTTCCACAAACGTGTCCCAGCCTTTTACAGTATTCGCACCATGGCCATCCCTTCCGCTCAGTCACCCGACTTGTGAGGGCTGCACCAGTCTCGGGTGAGAGAGATGTGCTTTCAGCAAGGTTGGGATTGAGTTGCGAGTCAACCATCATCACTTTCTTTCTGCTTTCTTCGCATCGCACCTCAGAGAACACCTCTCTAATGTTCGGGAGAGGTTTGGTTCCAAGGATGCGTCCTCTTACCTCGTCGAGGTATTTGTTCAGTCCGAAGAGGAATTTGGAGATTCGTTTCTATTCCACGATGTTTCCAAATCTCCTAGCAACCTCTGGGCAGCTCCAAGCATGTTCCTCAAAAACGTCAAGTTGCTGCCATTTTCGAGTAAGAAAATTATAATATTGAATTACCGTTTTTCCTCCTTGGTGCAGGTCGTGAAGACTTGTTTCGATTTCGAAGATGGTGGAAGTGTTATCGCGAGTGGAGTAGAACTCACGAGCTGCGACCCAGATATCATGCGCAGTCTCATAAAGGAGAAAATTTTCTCCAATCTCGATGGTCATTGAGTTCACCAACCAAGATATAACAAGATTATTCTTTACTTTCCATGTCTGAGTATTTGGATCGTTCGCGGGAGGAGGTGAGAGCTCTCCAGTAAGGTATTCACCTCAGCCTTTCCCTCGGATGAACATTAACACCGAGAACGACCATTGAAGATGGTTACTGCCATTTAGTCGATGGCCAGTAACAAAAGAGGGAGCCTGATCAGCAAGAGTAAGGCAGTCAGGCACCGAAAGGTGGGAGCCCAAAAGGACTTCGGACGGAGAAGAGGTCTGCTCATCCATTACCTATTGAATGCAAAAAGGATGCTGAAGAATTTGGATCAGGTATGCTCTGATACCATGAAGAATTTGAGAGTAAGAAATAATTCTCTTTTTACTCTATTTTTATTCATCGATGATCAGACACATTTTATAGGCAAAAGAAGGAGAAAATGACAAAAACTAACAACCTTCCCTAGTGGAAGGGAAAAAATAGAAAATGACAGTAAGCATTTCGTTACAATGCCAAGTTGTCAATAAAGGAAAAAATAAACAGTAAAAGAAAAACACTGAAAGTAATTCTACAGTCCGCCCTCTGACTTGTAGACTTAAACAATGAGGAAAAAAACGGTAAATTATCTTAAAAAACTACATCAGTTGATACCAAATATTTATTGAGATCAATAAAGTATCCTTTCTGTCTGTGAAAATATATTAAAAAGTACACATTTCAAGACCTTTGAATTTAATTTTGTCACATTAGGTCGCACATCTCGAACATAACGGATGCTAACAAATATCTTAATTTGCATCGGAAATAAAAACTTGTTTGAAAAAAAAAATGGTAATGAGCATCTCCATCAAATAATGTAAATGACATACGACTAATCAAGAAACATGCCGTAGAAACAGCATCAGCGCATAATTGTTTAAGGACTTGCATTTGGAACAAGAGAACTCAAACAGTCTCAAGTAAATGTATGTTCTTTCTTTTAGCAATTGCATTTTAAAATGGTATATCAACACACAAGAATTGATGAAGCATCTCGTGTTGAGTCATATAGTTCTAAAATGAGTCTGACATATATTCTTTAACATTATCATTTCTCAATACATGTATAGAAATATTAAATTATGTCTTGACTTTAGTACAAAAATGAAAAAATANNNNTATTGATCATTAGAGCTTACGGACTACAGCAATATTTTTACAAACCGACACGAGTCGCAATCCAGTAAAAGTATGTCATGAAACTAAGAACATAACTTTTTCAATACAAATAGAAAAAGATGTCTTAAGTGACAATATGTTTCAAATAGAGAGATAACAATAAAGTAGGCAACTGATTGAGGCACCAAGGTATCAAAAATGCAAACACCATTTGATATACTTTTTTTTACCAATAATTTGTTTTAACGTAAGATCTTGAAAAACATACTGATTAGAAAAAAATATAATACAACAATTCAAATTTTTAGTCAATTTACTCACAGAAATCAGATTGAAGACAAATTTAGATAAACTTAATACAGATAACAGGGTAATAGATGAAATTGATTTTGTGGTCCTGAAACTCACAATGTTATAGATCGACCCATTAGCAATGGTTACAGGAAAATGTGCTTTGTGTAGTTAGAAACTAGAAAAAATATTAGAATTATCTTTCATGTGATATATAACACCAAAATCAATCACCATCTGTTTAATGAGAAGAAAAAACATTTTTTCTCTAATTCAGTAAAACCAGAAAATTTATTTAAAAATTTCTAATACTGAGTGAATTTAGTATACTCATCAGCTGAAATCATAACAGTTCTCTCAAAAGATGAATTAGCAGTAGTTGCAACAATATTAGCGGTCGATGTCCTCCGATTGCGATTTTGTAATTTTTTACAGTGCCACTTTATATGTCATTATTTACGACAGTAATAACAGAAAGTATTATTATCTATTTCAATTCAGGAATTACAAAAAATGTCGCTCAGAATATCCAAAATACAACATTCAGAGATACCCAAAGAACCCTGCAAATAAACTAGAAATTTTGATAAAACAGAATATCTCTTTACACACAGAAACTAAGAGAACCATACTGGCACCACTGGAGATTCTGCGTCACCGCACACACTGCCGTCGGAGTTCACGCACTGCCACCGGAAATCACCAAAATACCTCCCTTCGGTCAGAAATCACCACAGAACCCAAATGACACCCAAATCTAGAATGGAGCTCGAAAAATCATCTCAAATCGCGCCGGAAAATCGAAAAAAGCTTGTTGTCGCACGATCTGCTCCGCCTCGACTTTCTTCGCTCCAATCTTCTGGTTTCTTGCTCAGACCAGGCCGGCTAAGCTTCTCTCCGGATTCTGACTTCTGGCCGAAGCGACACACGCGAAACGGCCTCCTCCGGCACACCCGACATGTGAAGACCCAAAAAAGAGAGAAAAGGCTTCCTCCACCTCTTCTGCGTGCACCACCGTGCCGACCACGATTTAAACTAGTCGGAGGACGGTAGTGGACTTCCTCCGACACCGAGAATAGATTGTTCAACCCTTATTTGATCTCATGTAATTTGACATCTAAAACCCTAACACTAACCCTAACTCTGATACCATGTAAACGGGTAGAGGTGAAAAATACTAAATAATTCTTGTATTTCATTACATAAGGTTACGAGAATATATAAATAAAAAATTGATCTATATATGCAAATATAAATCACCCTATTCATATTAGAAAATCAACTAATAATTACATAAAAATCTTCCATAATATATTTTGTAATATTCTAACAAAGCAAAAAGATAGAGATTGTGAAGAGTTATTATCAGACACAACCAAAGAGGGAGATGATAAAAACTTGAAATCATATCATGAAAAGTTATATTGGAATAGGGAGAAGATTCTAAATGATTATGCACTAGGTTTAAAAAAAAAATTCCACCAACCGAGTGGCTTGTTGGCAGCTAATGACAATTAAAGGAAAATTCATTATGTTGGCACATGATGGAGATGGGCACACTTTCAATCAATATTTTGGTCTATCCAAACTAGTCTAGCTACACTCTTTGAAGATTTTTTCACACATCATATTCAACTTCAAATTTCTTTCATGGGAACGGATTGTTTGGCACTAGAATATGCAACTCCTCTTTATGGTAATATTTGTTCAAATGACAGCATTGACTATGGGGTAATTGAAGACTTGAGTAACTATGAGTTACTAATTTCATCCTTGAAGACGAGGAT